CAAGATATTAGTAACACGCAGTTTGGCTTCAGAAACGCAATGGGTACAAGAGAGGCCTTGTTTGCCCTGAATGTATTGGCCCAAAGATGTATGGATGTTAACCAACCTCTTTATGTCTGTTTCCTTGATTACAATAAGGCATTTGACAAAGTCAGACATAATCGCCTCCTACAGCTACTTCAAGATAAAAATCTGGATATGAAAGATATTAGAATAATATCAAACCTTTACTTTAATCAAGTTGCATCTGTAAAGGTTGGCAACGAACTATCAGAAGAAATAGAAATACAACGAGGGGTAAGGCAGGGATGCATATTGTCTCCGCTGCTTTTTAACCTCTATTCAGAAGAGGTAGTTCAGAAGGCACTAAAGGAAACATCAAGTGGAATTAAAGTCAACGGAGAACTTATAAATAACATCAGATACGCCGATGATACTTTAGTAATCGCAGAGTCAGTTGAAGAATTGCAGGTTCTGATAAATAAGATTGTAGACAGTAGCGAAGAGGCTGGACTTACTTTAAATATCAAAAAGACGAAATTCATGACCATCGCAAAGACACAACAACAGGACACGTTATGGATTAGGGACGAACTCGTTCAAAAGGTGAACAGATATACATACTTGGGAACAATCATAACCGAAAACAACGATTACACACAGGAAATCAAATCACGTATAGGAAAAGCCCGATCAACATTCAATACTATGAGAAAAGTACTTTGCAGCAATGATCTGAGTCTGCAACTTAAAGTACGAATGCTTAGATGTTATGTATTTTCTGTGTTATTATATGGAATGGAGGCTTGGATGCTTAAAAAAGATATAAGTAACAGAATAGAAGCGTTTGAGATGTGGGCTTATAGAAGAATTTTAAAAATAAGTTGGATCGATAAGGTTACGAACAACGACGTTTTAAAAAGAATGAACAAGGAAAAGGAGATATTAAATACAATTAAAATAAGAAAATTGCAGTATCTGGGTCATGTCATGAGAGGTGAGAGATATGAGTTGCTGCAGATCATTATACAGGGAAAGATACTGGGCAGAAGAAGCATAGGCCGACGACGTGTATCCTGGCTAAACAATTTGAGGCAGTGGTACAATTGTAACTCTGTTGAGCTGTTTAGAGCAGCAGTGTCAAAGGTGAAGATAGCCGTGATGATAGCCAACCTTCTTAAAGGAGACGGCACTTAAAGAAGAAGAAGAAGGAGATATTGTTCTCTCTAAAGATATTATAGATGTGTCAGATTGGCGAATGCTTATTGTCCAAGGAGAAGAAATTCTTATAAAGTTGGAACAGGTATTTGGTATCGGAATTTGTAAAGCCATGAGAGTCTGCCTAACTATTTCTTAGAATGCTGGTTTTACGTTCCTATTTTCAGTCATAAGTTTTTAAAACGATTAGTGAATAATATAATATTTCTAGTTGGATTTTTTAGACTAGAATATATTTTTCTCTGACGATACTAACACTAGATAATTTGCATATAATCTGCCACGAACCAAGTTAGATTTTAATGGTATAGTATTATTCATGGCAATCAAAAATAGCGTTGCACTCATTACAGACCATTGAGGGGTGCCATTTACTTAATGTCTCGTTGAAGATGTGAAGTGGTTGACTCTTAAATGAAAATTGCATTGCGAAAATTTGAAATGAAATTAATAGTATTACCTTTAATATTCCATGTGTGTAGTAATCTGATAATATCAGGGTGTCAGGAGTTTTTCATTGATTCTGCTTTTTCTTTCGTCTTATATATTGTCTCATATTTTCTATATCTTTAATAATTTCCATAATAATATAGTCGGTGTATTTTAATTAAATTGTTCGATTAATTCATTCCAAGAATTGCTTCTGTGCTCTTGTTTCTTGCATCCCGACTTTCCTATTTAGGCTTCCTGATCTAGAATTCAGGGTTTCTTGTTCCGTTGGATCTTTCACGCATCCTTTCTTCTCTCAGCAGTTCTTGTATACTTTTATTCGAAGCCATACTTTTTTACTTTTTATACTGGTTGACTGTATTCTAGGAAGGTAATTTCTACGTGTAATCTGGTTATGTTTTCCAATTTAAAATATTCCATTGTAATTATTTCCTGTATGTTTTTATCAGTCAAGTTTTAAAATTAAAGGCCCCTAGTTTTGAACGTTAATAATAACTAATAGCTAACGGGAAGAATAACTAGTTTTAAAACAGTAGTAAAAAGCTAAAACAAGAAGTGTACGAGTATTTCGATATAAACTACCTTCTCTATACTTATCGTTTAGAGACCAACGCAAAGTACTTTATTGACTATAAAACACGAATTAAAAACTTGTTATCGACTTGAAATATCCTATCAGATACTTGCCAAATGATGTGGGCGATAAAGGAAAGCCATAAAAAGTTTTTTATAATCTTCGGCGAAAATATACAGCCGTTCGTGAAACCACCAGTATAAAGGTAACTTTATGGTTACCATAAAATACATTAATTAAGCAAGTTACACAGCCACTAGCCATATGATCTCCAGAGGTAATATAGTTTGGATTAGGCTTTTCTCGAAGAATGTGGTAACTTTTTGATGGTCAGGATTTTAATGAGATCGTTATTATAGTTGAGTTTCATTCAGTTAATTCAAAGATTGAAATAACATATTTTAGACTGTAATAAACTTTATTTGGTATTAGTAGTGGATAAACTTTAATTTATGTAGGCATAAGAAAACTCGTACAAAGTGGAAAAAATGTTTATTACGTTTCTATAAATATTTAGAGTGCAATTCGACCAAAGTTTTCATTATTTGCCATAATTGCTCTGTAAAAGGTTCGAGTACAATAAAAAAGAGTTTTTACATTGATTTAATGTTATTTACAATAAATAAATTGCTTTTAAACTATATTCTCCTTCTTTGAGTACTGATTCGTTACAAAACGTTGGCAATCATCCGTTGCTATTTGGTCCAACCTGTAGAGACAAAAATGAATGATTTTTAGAATTAATCGCAGATAAATTAATAAAGTTACACAATAAATGCAATGAAACAAGCTAAAGATGGTAAATCTCCCGGGCCTGATGAAGTTCCTATCGAATTACTTAAAGTTGTGAATACTGAATCTATTGACCTTCTTTTGGATCTATTCAATACCATATATAGAACAGGTATAATACCTAAAGAATGGCTCCAATCAACATTCATACTGCTTCCCAAAAAAGCCAATGCAAAGGAGTGCAATGAACATCGCACCATAGCCTTAATGAGTCATGTCTTGAAATTGTGTTTAAAAGTAATTCACAATAGAATACATAAGAAATTAGATGAAGGCATAAGTAATACACAAATGAGATTTAGGAAAGGACTGGGAACACGAGATGCACTGTTTGCAGTAAGTGTTCTTTCGCAGAGATGCTTAGATATTAATCAGGAAGTATATGCCTGTTTCATTGATTTTGAGAAGGCATTTGACAGAGTGCAGCATAATCGACTTAAAGAAATTTTATTAAATAAAAACATAGACAGTAGAGACATTAGAATCATCTGTAACCTCTATTGGAATCAAACAGTAAAAGTGAAAGTTGAAAACAAACTGACCAAGGATATCCAGATTCGCCGTGGGGTCCGACAAGGGTGTATTTTATCACCCTTGTTATTCAATTTATACAGTGAAGCCATCTCAGAATTAGCGCTTGCCGAGATCAGTGAGGGCCTTATAATAAACGGTGAGCCACTTAATAACATAAGATATGCTGACGACACCGTCCTTTTGGCAGAAACACTAGAAGAACTGCAACACCTTGCTGAACAACTAAATATATATTGCAACGATTATGGACTAAAAATCAATTTGAAGAAAACCAAGTTCATGGTATTTACAAAAGCACAAAACATCAAAGTTAAGCTAGTACTAGATAATACAGAAATTGAACAAATATCTTCGTACAAATACCTTGGAGCATGGATCACAGAAGATACTGATCAGACAAAAGAAATAAGATGCCGCATTGAAATTGCGCGGTCAACTTTTAATAGAATGAGAAAACTTTTTTGTAATCACGATATCAATATATCGCTCCGGATAAGAATGCTTCGATGTTATATTTTCTCTACCCTTTTGTATGGAGTTGAAGCTTGGACACTTAAAAAATCCAACATTAAAAACCTAGAAGCATTCGAAATGTAGTGTTACCGACGCATTTTGAAAATATCATGGATGGATCGCAAAACAAACGAACAAGTTCTCGAACAACTAGGAAAACAATGCGAAGTTTTAAATTCCATAAAGATCAGGAAATTGAAATACTTGGGGCACATCATGAGAGGTGAAAAGTACGAACTACTAAGGAATATAATGCAGGGTAAAATCAAAGGTAGAAGAAGCGTAGGAAGACGTAAAATCTCGTGGTTACGCAATCTCCGTGAGTGGTTTGGATGCAGTTCAATTGAACTATTCAGGCGAGTAACCAATAAAATTATAATTGCCAGAATGATTTCCAATCTTCGATAGGAGTGGAACTTTAAGAAGAAGACACAATAAATCATACCTGAAAGACACAATGTCAAATGTAGTAAAACAACTATTTACTTTTTATGTTAAAACATTTATTTGTCAGTTCTATGACTAAATGCAACCTAATTTGTTAGTTTATTGTAAACTAAAATATTAACTCAGTCTTATTGGTGCATTATTTTTCTCAGAAAATTCAATTTTTGAAGTTCCATAAAAAAGTATTTGCATACGCTCATTATTATTTATATGAAAATATTATGCATTATTATGTTGTCTAGGCCTCTCTCACTGGTGTACCTGTACGCTGGTTTGACTGGTTTCATGCATTTGTGAATGAAATCTCTCTATCTATTTATATTTTTCATTATATTTTATTAAAGCATTGCAGCCGGAATTTGTCTCCATAAGCAGGTCTGATACTCCCGGCAACAAGTTTTTGTAATTTAGATCTGCTTGGTCAGAGTTTCGTAATTTCTTGACTTTATTACTTAACCAGTTTTTACCACTGCTACTCGCTTTTTCCCTCTTTTTTTTTAGGGCTGGCAATTTTGGTGTCTGCTGGTTGAGTGTTTGCTGCTTTAGTGTCTGCTAGTTGAGTATCTGGTTCTTCAGGTCCTGATGTTTGTAAGTTTGCTGCTTGAGTGTCTACAACTTCAACGTCTGGTATTTGAATGCTTGCTGCTGTAGTAATTACTGATTAAGGGTTCTCAAGTGGAGTGTCTGCTACCTAGCTTACGTTGTTTGAATTCGACAAAAAACCATTGCAACCTGGAATATCACTACTGCTTCAGCTAGAACTATCACTTGATGTAGAAGGGGACGACGAAGTAGAGCTACTAAAATCTGATTCATAGTTTGAATCTTTTATGGAATCATCATCATTATCGTTTACAAAGTCCGAGATTTGGAGATCGTCTTTCAGTTCTGGTGAAAAGTCAACTCGTAACAATGATGTACCATTGTTATTATTATCGTTATCGGTACTTATAACATAGTTTACAGTATCATAAGTAACCAGTGCAGCATTTTCCTCTTCTAAAAGATGTCTTTTTGAGATTTCTGAAATAGAAGAATCATTATTATAGCTAAAATAAAAACTTTGTTATTCAGGCACGCTATTATGTATTATTCAATATCAGATTACCTGAGTTTCGCACTTGATCTGGTGCAAAACGCTTTGGTTTTATTTTCTTTGCAAGTGCCCTAATTCTGCATATCCTTGATCTCGATGAACTTTGCATGTTATGGAACCAGCCTGTTTACTGCATTAAAAATAATAATAAATACAAAACTAGGAAGGATATCACATAGTAACAAACAAGAAAATAACAGTCAATAATTCTAGAAAAGCGTCATAATTAAATAAAAAGTCAGTAGACTTGAAAATCGTATGTGCCGGTTCTATAAAACAATCATATTCCAAAAATAGTTTGAAAAATGTATTTACATATCCAAAAAACTGGATCAACTCAAAATGTAACACTACTCCGCACCACGCAAAAGTACTTTCCTCGTTTACAATTTCGAAAAACCTGTTACAATACAAAGTAGAATAGTATTTTACTTATTGGAATAATCAGATATAACTAATAACTCACACAAAAACTGTGACTATCACAATTCTAAATGTGACTCTTTTCAGGATTAAACACTACGTGTAGACTGTAGCGGAATGCATGTTGCTGAGCTAATCTGTAAAAAACAAAAGTGTCACATCACCATCTCGCGGTAAATAATTCAAATATAAGAGTGACGCTTTTATGGCGTCACTTTTATTTTTACAAATATATTTTATGATATGAAAATGAAAAGAACTGATGGAAAATTAATTGAGTGAATCGTTACTCTAAAAAATTAATTTAAAAGCTATAAATTTCTAATAAGTTAATGAATTTAAAAATTATTCTACCTTGGGGACATATAATAAAATTTAGTGATCACCATACTTTTGTAAATCCTAAATACTATTGGTATTTAATACAAAACAAAGTAAGCAAACCAAATAAATATATACATATAAATTAAGCAGCAATAATTTGAACGTACTTTTAATAAAAATAGTCCTTTATCACAAAAAAATAAAATATTGCAATGTTGTAAATCACTTACAAGAGGATTTAATGTCTCTGCTTGCAAAACTCGGCTTTTGGGTGAATATAACAAACGAATATAGTAACAAACTGTACTTACAGGTTCACAGTGGCATGTGTCTGAGATGTATATTCTCAGGTAGGGATGCTGTAGGACTAGCGCCAATAAACAATTCGAGGATTGTGTCAACCGGAACACGCACCTGCACGCACAGTGCCATAGGTAATGCAGCGACAGAATGACATATATGTATCCAACGAGCAACATAGGTTATATAACAAGCGGCAGGATGCAATGTAGAAGATACAGGATAAGAGGTACGTTGGCAAACAGAAGTGACATCCAAGTCTACAATCAATAAAAAAATCGAAATTAGCGGGACATTTACAATACATGATCTGAATAAATGGCATACCGCCAAGTTGACCTGATTAACTCGAAGGCTGGTCTACACAAATAAAGAAATGGTTTTCGAAATACGTATGAGGGCTTAAATTTTCTTTAAAGAGTGGATTTTTTTGGCTCATGCAAGATTGGCACTAATTATACTTTAGAATTGAGGACCGACTCGGATAAAAGAGACTTCCTTGATTTTTGGAGGTTTTAGAAAGCGAAAAAATTATATCTGTTCTTAGAAGTGAAGTGTTAGTATATAGACAAAATGCACAAACTATTGACTTGTTTCTGAGAAGGCACAGGATCATATAACAACCATGACTTGCCCTCAACATGCCAATTAAAAAGCGTAGTACAACTCTTCTAATGACTTGTTAGGCATGGGATAAAAGAAATTTGTGAGAGCAAAAATTTGGAAGAATTTGCGGGATGATTCAACATGCTTTAATGCTATTAAGTACTTAAAAAACTATTTTGTAGGTTTTTTAAGGACAAATTCATTTAAATTAATTTTTTTCAACCTTTATTTTTAAAATTGTTGTAGTTGAAAGAACTTGAACGAGTGAATAATCACGAGTCTATGCAAACTTTAAACAGCAATATCTTAACCAAGTTTTATCTTACAGAAAAGCAAAAAAAACCAATCTGTTCAGGAAAACAAAACCCATATTTATTTACTCATCAAGATTTAACGTATCAATAATACGTTTTAAGTTATTTTGAAAAAAGGCCTTTTCTTAAAATTTCTTCAAAAAAAAAAAACTTCAAAGTTTCTTTTACTTTAAAACCAAATTTTTTTTAAATAAGCACTTTAAGCCAGTTAAACTTGCAGATCATATAAACAATAAACAAAGTAAATTGTAATGCGGTAACGAATAATTTTATTTAGGTTGCTAATTAATTGTTGCTAATTAGGGGTGGTCTTAACTATGCTTTTACCAAAAAAGAGTATTCACTTTATTTTGAGTGCAACTCGCTTAGTTTTGATGCTAGAAACGTAAAACTAATAAATAAAACTTTTTTTGAAAAATATCAAAAAATTTTTGAGTTTTTCCTGAAATGTTCGTAATTTTTTGGTCATTTCACGTTGAAATATTCGATTGGGAATTCGAAAAATAAGCACCTTCTTTTCATGAGCTACTCTACTCTTTTTCTACTGGATCTACAGACTTTATAAGTACATCATTCTTTTTGGTTTTTCTATGAGCTACATTTTTGCTAAGTATTTCTTTCGATTAATACTTACTTTTTGAGTTATTTGTGCAAAAACGTCTAAAAACGTGTTTTTTATTATGAAAAATAAACATTTTCACTTGCAATTAACTCAAAAAGTATTGACTTATCGAGTGAAAAAACTCTACAGAATAAAAGTTGCTTAGAATTAGCCAATTTATCCACTTCCGGACTTATTTTGAACGTTCGTTTTTTCATCCCCGAGAAGGGGTGGCTTTCATACACCAAGTAAACCCCCCCCCGCTTGGCGCAAGTCCAAAAGTGAAGAAAAGGGGGTAATCCAAAGTTTCAATCTGTTGTAATGAGAAGAATTACACTCCAAAACAGTCATTTACTGGAGTAGAAGGGCAAAACCTGGAGTAACCTTCAAGTGTTTGCAACTCCAAAGTGTGGGTAATAATTTTGCTATGGAACTTTGAATGCCATGGTGTTTTTTAATTATTTTTATTGTATCAAATTAATATTTTAGGGTTAAATGAATACAATATTATGAAAGTGCAAAATTAACGATTGAAGGTCCACAAATGTACTAGAGAAGCTAAGTAGATAGATATATTAGTTGTATTTCGTTGCGGGCAAAGAATGAGCTTTTATAGTAAATTTTAGGCGAGTGGCAAATTTTACGACCTTTTTATGACTTTAAAGTTCGAAAAACAATAAAATATTTTTCAACCGATTATTAAAAAACTCTTTTAGTGAGAACTCGTAAAATATAACTATAAGTAAGACAGGTGTGTACAAAGATTTGTTTTTTAGAACGATAAAAAAGCTTTTACCTGATTTTAGTGGCGCCTCAGATATTATGTAAATAATATTTCTTGGAATATATATTAAATAGTGTGATGTATGAGGTAGTAAAGTTTTTAAAAGACATTTACCGAAACTTGAATTTTTTATGATAATAAAATATGGTATAGAACCGTAACAAACTGCATTATTTAGAAATATGCATAACATCTAGATTAAATGAAGATGTAATATCTGTTGTAATAAATATTCGAACTTGTATTTTTGAACTGCTTGAAACATTTCGATATGTTTATGTAATCTTCTTGTCATAGAAAAAACTATACTAATTTCTTTTTATTATCTTCCTATTCATAAAGATGACATGCTTATATTTTTTTATATTATGCGTTTCATCTCATTCTTTATCTCTTTTATTATCTTTACAGTATCCTACACCTCCTGTGGATCCGGATCCTAATCCTCAAGACCGAAAACCCGGCAGTCTTCCTGAAGATGTAGATTTGGACGTTTCATGCAGAGACTTGTTGTTACGTTTACTAGAAGTACAACCGCATAAACGACTGCGCTCCGTAAGAACCTTGGAAACAATTGCTTTTTACAAGGGATATAGATTTAGTGAAGTCAAGGAAAAAAGAGTAAGTTTACAATAATTATATGACCACTGAAATGTATCCAATGCTTCTGGTCCGTGAGACTAAATGGTAAACACGTCGTCTACATATCTCCACCATAATATAGGTTGTTTGTCTAAAATGTTTTGAATTCCTCAATGAATATACATACCTATGCTAATAATGGAGTTAAGGATGAGCCCATGGCTAATTCGAAATTTTATTTATAAATATTATTATCTAGTTGGAAATAAGTGTTGCCAATCACAGCAAAGATTGTCATTTTGGCCGGCCAATAACAACGAGTCTTATTAATCACGTTTGTATTGGCCTTCCGACGGAAGATCGCTGCGGATCGGCTACAGATAGCTGATAGATTTAGTTTAGATTTTGTTGTCAATGTATCATCCCTCTCTAATTTCCCTATTATTATTTTTAAAGTGTTCTGCAATGATACATAGACATCAAAAGGCTGGTGATATCAAAACTGGTCTGATATGGATAATACGAGATAGGGGCATTTTCCAATCACGGTTTTGAAATTTTCGATAGTTAATTAATAAGAGACTTTTTTTGATGCATCTTAAGGGGACAGTCTCATGCGATTAAAAAAAAAGACACATTTTAAAATTAAAGCAGAAAAAAAAACTATAATATTTATTAACATAATTCCTTCTGTAGATGATTAAGTAAGTCTTGAAGTACATAAAAAAATTTTTTAATAGTGATTTTAACTTCATTGGTCTCCTGTAGATGGCGTGTAGTAAAAAGTGCGTTTTTGGTGGTAAGACACTTTGTGAGTCACCTGTAACAGATATTCAAAAAATTCAAAATGGGTTGTATTCGTGAGACTCAAAACTAGATGATAAACCTTTAAATTATGCAAATTGTATTATTTTGAAGAGTTTATACGAATTTTTTCAAAAAATTCGAAAAATCGCCATATTTTTCGGTGAATTTACCCATATATAATAAAAGGGGGGGTGGTTTTTAAATATTTTAAAGGTTTATCATCTAGTCTTTTGTATATACAATCGAAAAATTTTTGGTTTTTTAAAATCGGTTAAGAAGGTTCGGAGAAAAGTGTCTGACCAGTTTGAAAATGTTACTTTTGAGAAAAAAGCATTTAAAGTTTTTTTTACATAATTTTCGTGAATTAA